ATAGGAATGTATCCAGATGACCCCTTGGAACTTACTGTGCTAGCAAAATGTCTGGCACAAAATAGGTTCCCCTTAAATATTTATTGGACAAACAAATGGCACAAATATAGGATACAATGCCATGTGGAAAGAGCAGGAGTTTGGAATCAGAACTTAATTCATACCCTAGCCCATTTACTCATCCATAAACTTTCATTATATATGCCTGAAGTAATAAAAAGATGTGGCCCTTGACTTCAGCAACTCATAGTTGATTGACAGAGTCAGAAAGAAACAGGCAATTGTTCTGCAACATGATTAAGTGCTGTGACAAATTTGTGTGCAAAGGTACAGCTCTAGCCTCTACAGCTCACAGGTTCTCCAAAGTGATCTGCTGCATTCAGGCCAGAAGAGCCAAGAGGATCAGGAAAACCAAGGATGGAGTGTTTGAGGTGGGGGTGCTTGAGGTGACTCCAATCAGACAGAACAACAAGGAAAGCTGCTCAGAGGTGAGTGAGCACAGCATGTTCAGGGAACTCCAAATGTTTAAGCACATCTAGAGCCAAAGTGCTTTGTGCTAGGTCAGCGGACGGAAGTGAGGTTAGAATAGATGAGGACAGAGTGATAAATAGGGGCCAGATCACAAAGGACTTTGTGTGACATGCTAAAGAGATTGGATTTTTTTTCCCTGAAGGTGATGGAAAGCAAATGAAGAATTTTAAGCAGGGGAGAGACATGATCAAATTTGCATTTTAGAAATAGCAACAGCATGGAGGATGGGCTGGAAGGAGATGAGGCTGGGAATAGGGAGAATAATTTAATAGGCTACTGCAGTGATGAGTGAAAAATGATGAGGCCCTGAACTCAGCTTAGAGATAGTGGGTGGTTAGAAGTCAAGAGACAGAAATAACAGGTCATGGGCATGAGGGAGAGAAATGAGGCTAGGTGACCCCCACCCCCACATCTTCTGGCTTGGCATCTGGGAAAGGGTGGGGAAGGAAAGGAAGAAGGGAAAAAATGAATATGTATCTATTTTCTTCCATGTTCCAAGCACTGTTTGAGGAATTTTACATTTATTACTTTATTTAGCCTTCACAATGAACCCAGATAATGGGTGTTATTAACTCTTTCTTCCAGATTAAAAAATAAAAACAAAAATCTAAAATTCAGAGAGCTCAATCCACTAGGCTATGGCCAACACAGGTATTTTTCAGACTCTGGCTCAGGATAGATGTGTTGGAAGAGGATGGGGGCATCAGTTAACCATGAAGTCTATTTGGATGCCAGGTGTCTTCTGCAGCAGATACCAGTCTCAGTCTGATCCACAGAAGAGACTCTAAAATTGGGAGACATTTCTGTCTCCCAAGCTCAGGGAGGTCTGTCCCCAAGGCAACTTTATCTCAAAGAACTGTTAGGTGAACTTCTCCGTGAACAAAGCTCACTATAATCCCCAGACCTCCAGTAAAGGGACAGCTCTGAGCCAAAACATCTGTCTCCACCTGGCCTCTCCCTAAACATTAAATATTGACCTAGGAGAGGAAGTGTACCAGTTGGCCCAGCATGATGATATATGAATCCCAGGCCCCATGGAGCTGGGTTAGTCATGACAAATAATTTAGGAAGAAACAAACAAACAAAAAAAAATGAATTCAACTATCAAGGACCAGAGTCACAATTTGAACCTAAGTCTGTATGACTCCAAGGTCCATATTTTTTTCACTTTCTCAAGTTGGGATAGTCACCAAGTTAGATTACACAGAGAAGTTAGTTTGGGGAATTGGACATAGTGACATTTTAGACATAGTGAATTTGAGATGCCTCTGTGACATTCAAGTGAAATCATCTAATAAACTGTTGGGTATATTGTTCCCTTGTACAAATTACTTAAAGTATCTGAGTTGTTGAAAAAAATACTAAAGTCTCTGAGCCTCAGTTTCCTCATCTGTAAAATGGTAATATTATCTATCTTAAAGGGTTAACGGAGGTAAGATTCTTACATAGTACGCTGCTTACATTAGGCAGTCAATAAGAATAAATGAAGCTGGGTGTGGTGGGGCATGGCGGCACATACCCATGATCTCAGTGACTCCAGAGACTAAGGCAGGAGGATTGCAAGCTCAAGTCTAGTCTGGGCAACCTAGTGAGACCCTGTTGCAAAATTTTTAAAAAAGCGGAAGTGGCGGGGAGGCACTGGCAATGTAGTTCAGTGGTAGAGTGCTCTTGGGTTCAGTTCCCTGAACCAAATACACACACACACACACACACACACACACACACACAAAAGAATAAATGAATAAAGCACTTGCTACCTACGATATTATGCATATTCATTGCTGCACAATTTAGAATGTGATTATTTCCTTTTTTTAAAAACATATTTTTTTAGTTGTAGATGGACACAATACCTTTATTTAGTATTTTTTATGTGGTGCTAGGGATCAAACCCAGTGCCTCACACGTGCTAGACAAGCGCTCTACCACTGAGCCACAAACCCAGCCCTGCTTATTTCCTTTTAAAATTTAGTAGTTTAATTAACTTAGTCTCCATAGTTAGACTATAAATTTCTTTGTAATATGGATGCCATCTTTTATTATTCCTTATGGTGCCTAATCAGAGAATGGGGACTTGACAACTTATTACTAGAAAAAAAATGTTGATGTGGAAGTGGATTGGGACCTAAGTATGGGGGATGCTTTTCCTTTCGTTGTCTCTTTCCCACCAGCTGCTTAATCAATCAAGCTAGAAATCTGGAGTCATCTTTAACTCTTCCTCTTCCTCAACCCAAACATCTAGTAGTCACCAAATTCCAAATTACTTCACCAATATATCTCAAAACTCTGTTGTCTCTCTACCACTGTCCTAAACCACCTGATCTCTCACCTCCATTATGGGTTTTCTTTCGTTTGTTTGTTTTTCTATTTATTTATTTATTTGTTTGTTTATAACTCTAAGCTGCACTTGGGTTTTTAACCCATCTTTAAAGAAACAATTAATTGGGCTGGGGATGTGGCTCAAGCGGTAGCGCGCTCGCCTGGCATGCGTGCGGCCTGGGTTCGATCCTCAGCACCACATACAAACAAAGATGTTGTGTCCGCCGAGAACTAAAAAATAAATATTAAAAATTCTCTCTCCTCTCTCACTGTCTCTCCTCTCTCACTCTCTCTTTAAAAAAAAAAGAAACAATTAATTATAGGTTAGCTTTCAAGAAACTGAAGACATGACAGAAAAAGGAAGAAGAAAAAAAATTCTCTTTCATTCTGTGGGAACAGTTTGTGCAGGGCAGAACCAATTAATACCTAGGAATCCTCAATGAGAAGAATCTCTTTTTTAAATTTATTTATTTATTTATTTTGGTATCAGGGATTGAACTCAGGGGTACTCAACCACTGAGCAACATCTCCAGCCCTTTTTTTTTTTTTTTTTTTTTTTGTGTCCGGGGGT